TTAAAATGTAATGAAGGGACTCATGGTCTTATATATATAGTTACTCCTTAATTGATTATAAGGGAAGTAATTTTCACCTAACAAAAACCTTTCATTCTGCCCTATCTCAACAAATCCTGAGTTAAAACATAGGCAATACTGAGTCATGGGACTAGGAATTATCTGGCATTTAATCTTTCATAACCACTTATGGCTACAATATTTATTAGCATCTGTATTCACATATGGTTGTTGTTGTTGCTCAGTCACTAAGTCATGTCCGACTCTTTTGCAACACCATAGACTGTAGCCCACCAGATTCCTCTGTCCATGGGATTTCCCAGGCAAGAATACTGGAGTGAGTTGCCATTTCCTTCTCCAGGTGGTCTTCCTGACTCAGGTACTGAACACATTGCTTGCACTGGCAGGCGGATTCTTTACCACTGGGCCATCAGGGAAGCCCTGCTTCATGGATCACAGCATCGTCACAGTGAAGGGGCTTGCATAACTCAAGAGTCTATGAACCAAGCAACGCAAGGCCACCAAGACAAGTGGGTCATAGTGAAGAGTTCTGACAAAATGTGGTCCACTGGAGAAGGAAATGGCAACCCACTCTTGTATTCTTGCCTGGAGAACCACAAGGACAGCATGAAAAGTCAAAAAGATATGATGCGGGAAGAAGTGACCCCCAGGTCCGAAGGTGATTAATATGCTACTGGGGAGGAGCAGAGGGCAATTACTAATAGCTCCAGTAAGAATGAAGAAGCTAGGCCAAAGGGGGAACAATACTCAGCTGTGAAGGTGTTTGGTAGTGAAAGTAAAGTTTGAGGCTCTAAAGAACAATATTGCACAGGAATCTGGAACATTAGTTCCATGGAACAAGATAATTTGGATGTAGTCAAGTGGGAGATGGCAAGATTGAACACTGACATCTTAAGAATCAGGGAACTAAAATGGACAAAAATGGGAGAATTTAATTCACATGACCATTTTATCTACTACTGTGGGCAAGAATCCCTTAGAAGAAATGAAGCAGCCCTCACAGTCAACAAAAGAGTCCAAAATACAGTACTTGAGTGCAATCTCAAAAACAACAGAATAATGTCAGTTTGTTTTCAAGGCAAACAATTCAACATCACAGTAATCCAAGTCTATACTTCAATCACTGATGCCAAAGAAGCTAAAGTTGACCTGTTCTCAGAAGACCTTTAGCACCTTCTAGAACTAAAACCAAAAAAAGATGTCTTTTTCTTCATAGGGGATTGGAATGCAAAAGTAGGAAGTCAAGAGATACCCAGGAAAAACAGGCAAGGTTGGCCTTGGAGTACAAAATGAGGCAGGGCAAAGGCTAACAGAGTTTAGTCAAGAGAACACGCTGGTGACAGCAATCACCCTTCTTCCAAAAACACAAGAGATGACTATAGACATGGACATCAACAAATGGTCAATACCAAAATAACATTAATTATGTTTTTTGTAGCCAAAGATGGAGAAGCCCTATGCAGTCAGTAAAAACAAGAACTGGAGCTGACTGTGGCTCTGATTACAAGCTCCTTATTGCAAATTTCAGGCTTAAATTAAAGAAAGTAGGGAAAACAATTAGGCCATTCAGGTATGACTAAAATAAAATTCTTTATGATTATATTAATATAGTGGAGGTGATGAATAGATTCAAGGCATTAGATCTGGTAGGCAGAGTGCCTGAAGAACTATGGACTGAGATATATAACATAGTACAGAAGGCAGTGACTGAAACCATCTCCAAAAAAGAAGTCCAAGAAAAAGAAAAAGTGGTTGTCTGAGAAGGCTTTACAAATATCTGGGGAAAGAAGAGAAGTGAAAGGCACGAAGAATAGGAAAGATATATCATGCTGAATGCAGAGTTACACAGAATAGCATAGGAAGGCCTTCCTAAATGAACAATGCAAAGAAATAGAGGAAAACAATAGAATGGGAAAGACTAGAGGTCTCTTCAAGAAAATAGGAGATATCAAAGGAACATTTCATGCAAGGATGGGCCTGATAAAGAATAGAAATTGTAAGGATCTAACAGAAGCAGAAGATATTAAGAAGAGGTGGCAAGAATACACAGAAGAACCATACAAAAAAGTTCTTAATAACCACAATGATGTGGTCACTCACCTAGAGCCAGGCATCCTGGAATGTGAAGTTAGGTGGGCCTTAGGAAGCATTACTATGAACAAAGCTCATGGAGGTGATGGAATTCCAGCTGAGCTATTTCAAATCCTAAAAGATGAAGCTGTGAAAGTGCTGCACTCAATATGTCAGCAAATTTGGAAAACTCAGCAGTGGCCACAGGACTGGAAAAGGTCAGTTTTCATTTCAATTCCAAAGAAGGGCAATGCCAAAGAACATTCTCACTACTGTACAATTGTGTTCATGTCACATGCTAGCAAAGTTATACTCAAAATCTTTCAAGTTAGGCTTCAACAGTATGTGAACCAAGAACTTCCAGGTGTATAAGCAGGGTTTAGAAGAGGCAGAGGAACCAGACATCAAATGGCAAACATCTGCTGGATCATGAAGAAAGCAAGGCACTTCCAGAAAAACATCAGCTTCTGCTTCATTTACCATGCTAAAGCCTTTGACTGTGTGGATCACAACAAGCTGTGGAAAATTCTTAAAGACATAGAAGTACCAGACCACCTTACCTGCCTCCTGAGAAACCTTTATACAGGTCAAGAAGTAACAATTAGAACCAAACATGGAACAATGGACTGATTCAAAATTGGGAAAAGAGTAGTCAAGGCTATATATGGTCACTTTGCTTGTTTAAATTACATGCAGAGTACATCATGGAAAATGCCAGGTTCAATTAATCACAATATGGAATCAAGGTTGCTGGGAGAAATATCAACAACCTCAGATATTCAGATGATACCAACTCTAATGGCAGAAAGTGAAGAGGAACTAAAGAGCCTCTTGATGAAGGTGAAAGAGAAGAATGGAAAAAGCTAGCTTGAAACTCACCATTCAAAAAACTAAGATCATGGCATCTGGTCCCATCACTTCATGGCAAATAAAAGGGGGAAAAGTGGAAGCAGTGACATATTTTACCTTCTTGGACTTCAAAATCACTGCAGACAGTGACTGCAGCCATGGAATTAAAAGACTTGCTCCTTGGCAAAAAAAGTGATGACAAACCTAGACAGCATATTAAAAAGCAGAGACATCACTTTGCTGACAAATGTCCATATAGTCCAAGCTATGGTTTTTCCACTGGCCGTGTATGGATGTGAAAGTTGGACAATTAAGAAAGCTGATCACAAAAGAATTGATGCTTTCAAATTATGGCCCTGGAGAAGACTCCTGAGAGTCCGTTGGACTGCAAAGAGATCAAACCAGTCAATCCTAAAGGACATCAATCCTGAATATTCATTGGAAGGACTGATGCTGAAGCTGAAGCTCCAAAACTTTGGCCACCTGATGCAAAGAACTGACTCACTGGGAAAGACTCTGATGCTGGGATGACTGAAGGCAAAAGGAGAAGTGGTCAGCAGAGGATGAGATGGTTAGATAGTATCACAGACTCAATGAACATGAATTTGAGCAAGCTCCAGGAAACAGTAGAAGACAGAGGAGCCTCACGTGATGCAGTCCATGGGGTCACAAAGCATTAGACCCGACTTAGCAACTGAACAACAGCAAATATTCACATATTAAAAAATGAATCTCAAGAATGTCCAGAGATTTGTTTAAGGTGTCCAGGAAACCACCAGTCAAGTAACAAAAAATATTGTTCAAATATCTCCCCTACAAATCTGGTAGACAGTGGCTGGGGATGAGAACTAATCCCTTTCCTGAAAAGTTACTTAACAACAAAAAAAGGTGCCAAATTGACTTTTTGCACTAATAAGCTATCAAAAGAAAATAAATATGAAAGTATAAATGAAAGGGTTAAGACAAACCCTTTCCTTTTAACCCTACTTTAGGGTTAAAATAAACATTAGTAAGTATAACAGTGTTAGTCGCTCAGTCATGTCCGATTCTTTGCTATCCCATGGACTGTAGCCCTGCAGGCTCCTCTGTCCATGGGATTCTCCAGGCAAGAATACTGGAATGGGTTGCCATTCCCTTCTCCAGAGAGTAAGTAAGAGAATAATGTAAAAAAAAAAAAAAAAAAAAGATTTAGCTTAGCAATTAGAGAAAATTATTTTGATAAGAAGGTCAATCAGCAAGGCATTTGCTTAATAGTTACAATAGTCACCAAGCACCTTTATGAAAATGCAAATATATTTATGAACAGAAGAGCCAGGGTCCTACTTAAAGTGAGAGAAAAAGAAGAGACTCCAAAGTGTTCTTTTCATCTCGACACTATTAATGACGGTCAAACTAAATAAATTAAGAAAGTGATAAAGGCTAAAAAAAATTGTCCTTCTACTAAACCATTGATAAATGGTTTTGTCTAGCAAAATAAAGCAAATGAGATATCCTTCTGCCTTTGTAATCTCCTAGTTTAAATATATTATTTACTCTTATTAAATAAGTACATTTATATTTTTTCATAATGCATTACTACAGCAACACAGACTACCTGGAAACAGGTACTGTTTACCTCAGATCAACAGAAGCTGGCAAAAGGAGTTTTCATTTACAATTAGGACAGACTTCCACATGCCTTAAGCTTCAAGGTTTTTCTTTCTCAAATAATTTATATTCACAGATTTATTTCTATATTATCTTTATAATTATGTTATTATGTATTTATTTACATACTTATATAGGGCATAATAACTTAAATGGTCAAAAGCCTAGAAATTTTCTAGCCATTTCCTTATCAATAAGCCTTCTTCTGTTTTTCAGTCTCCCACTGGCTTTAAAACTAACTTCTGGCTTCATTCTTGTGAAGTATGTATAAGTTTCACAACCCAATCAGGTCAACTTCTGAATGGTGACATTAAGAAATGAGAGGACAGATGTGCTCGGATTGATGCTGGGTTCAGAAAATGGGATTATAAGTAAGAACAATGCCAAGGTAAACTAAGTCATCTTTTACTTACAGCTGACAAGTGCTGCAAGAGACACATGACATCAATCATATCTGCGAGGACAAGGAGTCTGGTAACTGCAGCCAACAAGGCACGGGCAGCCTGAACCACAGCTTCCCTTTTCGGGAGATAACAGGGGTCATCTGCAAATCTCTCAGCTGATACTTTCAGAGCTTCACCTGAAAGACACAATCCCAAATATGTTATATTTTAAGCTTCATTTATGCCTGTTGCAGCATTTATCATCCAACCTAATTCCAAGTACATTCCATGACTAAGCATAATATTAAAATACTGTCACTTGACACTAGAACATCGTCTCTTAATAAAGAATGCACTTTCAAATTGATATTTGTTTTTGATAAATGTTCTGGAGTTTAAGAAGCATGGTACCATTTTCCTGCACGAAAATTGTGTTCAATTGACTAGCAACATCTAATAAAATTGCTGTCAACTTCTGCATTTGCTGAATCTCATTTGCTGTGAAAGGTTTCATTACTAAGACTTCAATCAGAAACAATTTTGTTTATACAGATAAGATAAATCTTCACTGAGTTACTTTCCAACTCAATGGATGTTAGAAAAGAACTAGCCTTTAAGAGAGTAAGACAGCAGTTCTCTGATAAAAGTTTAACATAGGTAGATTTATTCTTAACTGTCAACATACTAAATAAACTATACCCTAAACTTAGTCATGGAAATAATATTCCACAGTTAAAGAAATATATTTCACTTGTTAGATAAATATACTCACTATTTTTCAGGTTTCTTTATTTAAAACATGTTCTTTATAAAAGTGACATGCACCAATTTATTTTTAAAAGTTCACAGTTCAGAAAGGTGCAAAATGAAAAACCCCTCTTTACTCCACTCCATTAACATAATTGCTAAAGACACCATATCCACTATTTTTTAAATTTTTTAAAGTTAAACATTTTTATTATGAAAGCAATATGTGACTTGCTACTTTTAAATAATTCACCATACTAAAGAATATAGAGTGAATTCTTTGTTTGTTTCCATAAAAATCCCCAAAACAACCATTAAGTTCTTATATCTATCCAGAAATTTTTCTATGAATGTATGTTTTATGTGTGACATATACATATATATATGTACACTTATAAATACACTATTTTATTAGTATATTCAGTCATATACATTCATATTATTTAAAAGATTTATATCATAGGAAAACATAGATATTATATGTTATAAAGGAAACATATAGAAGATATAGATTCAGATTCTTTTCATAAATAGTTTTATACTATAGGCTTCCCTTGTAGCTCAGTCAGTAGAAAATCTGCCTGCAATGCAGGAGACCCAGGTTCAGTCCCTGGGTCAGGAAGGTCCCCTGAAGAAGGAAATAGCAACTCACTCCAGTATTCTTGCCTGGAGAATTCCCATGGACAGAGGAGCCTGGCAGGCTACCATGACGTCGTGAGTTGGACACAACTTAGTGACTAAACCACCACCACCATTATACTATAAAAACTTTCTACATTCTTTTCACTTATCAATTTACTTTCTTTACATATTGGGATACAGATGATCAGGAGGCAACAGAGCACAAAACTTAACAATGTGGGCACAAGTAACTTAGCCTCTTTAGGTTTCATTTGTTTCCACTATAAGTGGTTTTTGTTCAGTCACTCAGACATGTCCAACTCTGCAACCCCATGGACAGTAGCAAGTCAGGCTTCCCTGTCTTTCACTATTTCCCAGAATTTGCTCAAACTCACATACATTGAATCAGTGATGCCATCCAACAATCTCATCCTCTGTTGCCCCCTTCTCCTCCTGCCCTCAATTTTCCCAGCATCAGGGTCTTTTCCAATGAGTCAGCTCCTCGCATCAGGTGGCCAAATTATTGGAGTTTCAGCTTCAGCATCAGCCCTTCCAATGAATAGTCAGGACTGATTTCCTTTAGGATTGAATGATTTGATCTCCGTGCAGTCCAAGGGACTCTCAAGAATCTTCCCCAACAACAGACTTCAAAAAAAAGGCTTCAAAAAAGCCTCAATTCTTAGGCACTCAGGCACATTAATAGTCCGACTCTCACATCCATACATGACACCTGGAAAACCATAGCTTTGACTAGATGGACTTCTGCCACCAAAGTGATGTCTCTGCTTTTCTGTCTAGCTTTCCTTCCAGGGAGCAAGCATATTTTATTTTCATGGCTGCAGACACTGTCCACACGGATTTCAGAGGCCAAGAAAACAGAATCTGTCACTGTTTCCATTTTTCCCCATCTATTTGCCATGAAGTGATGGGACCGGATGCCATGATCTTAGCTTTTTTTTTTTTTTTCATTTATTTTTATTAGTTGGAGGCTAATTACTTTACAATATTGTAGTGGTTTTTGTCATACATTCACATGAATTAGCCATGGATCTTAGCTTTTTAATGTTGAGTTTTAAGCCAGGTTTTTCACCCTCCTCTTTCACCTTCATCAAGAGGCTCTTTAGTTCCTCTTCCCTTTCGGACATTAGGATGGTGTAATCTGAGTATTTGAAGTTATTGATATATCTCCCAGTGATCTTGATTCCAGCTTGTGCTTCATCCAGTCTGGCATTTCACATGATGTACTCTGCATATAAGTTAAATAAGCAGGGTGACAATATACAGTCTTTACATACTCTGTTCCCGATTTCAAACCAGTCTGCTGTTGCATGTCCAGTTCTAACTGTTGCTTCTTGACCTGCATACAGGTTTCTCAGAAGGCAGGTAAGGTGATCGGGAATTCCCATCTCTTGAAAACTTTTCACAGTTTTCTGTGATCCACATAGTCAAAGACTTCAGCATAATCGATGAAGCAGTAGATGTTTTTCTGGAACTCTGTTCTTTTTCTATTATCCAACAGATTTTGGCAGTTAGATCTCTGGTTCCTCTGCCTTTTCTCAATCCAACTGGTACATCTGGTTCACGTACGGTTGAAGCCTAGCTTGAAGGATTTTGACCATTACCTTACTAGCATGTGAAATGAGCACAATTATGAGGCAGTTTGAACATTGTTGGGCACTGCCTTTCTTTGGGATTATAATGAAAACTGACCTTTTCTAGTTCTATGGCTACTGCTGAGTTTTCCAAATTTGCTGGCAGAAAATCAGAGGTACGAAGAGAACATTTCACGCAAAGATGGGCACAATGAAGGGCAGAAATGGTAAGGACCTAGTAGAAGCAGAAGAGATTAAGAAGAGGTGGCAAGAATACACAGAAGAATTGTATAAAAAGGTCTTATGACCTGGATAACCATGATGGTCTGGTCACTCACTGTAAATGCAGCTGATAATAGTAAGTATAATTTTTTATGAACGTTAAAGAAGAGCAGTGTTTGGAACCAATAAGACTTGATTAGCTGTTTTGTCATTCTTTTTAATGCTTGAGTAAAGTTACATTTAATTGATATATTATAACTTACTTTTCCAGGCCTCCTTTTTGTTAGTAAGGCTTTTTCCAGTTTTGTTGAGAAATAATTGGCATGTATCACTGTATAAGTTTAAGGCATAGAACATGATGGTTTGATTTACATATATTGTAAAAAATACTATCAGATTAAGTTCATCTGATAGTAACATTCATCATCTCATGTAAATAAAGGAAAAGAAGGAAGAAAAGGGGGAAAAATGTTCTTTTTGATCAGAATTCAGGATTTACTCTCTTATCAATTCTCCTTTATATAATACAGCAGTATTAATAATGTCATCATGCTGTACATTACATCCCTCATACTCTTGTATAATGGTAAATGTGTACCTTTTGACCGTATTTATCTAACTCCCCCGCCCACCACACTCAACCTCTGGTAACTGCAAGTCTGATCTCTTTTGTTATGAGTTTGGTCTTTTTTTGCATTTTAGATTTCACAAGTAAGTGAAATCATAAAGTATTTGTCTGCCTTTGTCTGACTTATTTCACTGAGGATAATGCCTTCAAGGTCCACTAACATTGGTTCATATGGTAGGATTTCCTCACTTTTGTGGATGAATAATAGTGCACTGTGTATATGCCACATCTTCTTTATCCTTTCATTCATCAGTGGACATTTAGCTTGTTTCCGTGTCTTGACTATTGTAAATAATGCCGCTATGAACATGGAGATACAGATAACTTTTTGATTTAGTGTTTTGTTTGCTTTACATATATTAACAGAAGTGGAATTGCTGAATCACAGCACAGTTCTATTTTTAAATTTTTGAGAGTCCTTCACAGTTTTCCATAATGGCTGTACCACTTTATTTTTTGTTTGTTTGTTTGTTTTTAAAAGTCTTTATTGAATTTGTTACAGGATTGCTTCTGTTTTTTGTTTTGTTTTGTTTTTTTATTAGTTGGAGGGACACATACAGACTAAAAGTAAAGGGCTGGAAAAAAATATTTCACGCAAACGGAGACCAAAAGAAAGCAGGAGTCGCAATACTCATATCAGATAAAATAGACTTTCAAATAAAGGCTGTGAAAAGAGACAAAGAAGGACACTACATAATGATCAAAGGATCAATCCAAGAAGAAGATATAACAATTATAAATATATATGCACCCAACATAGGAGCACCACAATATGTAAGGCAAATACTAATGAGTATGAAAGAGGAAATTAATAGTAACACAATAATAGTGGGAGACTTTAATTCCCCACTCACAACTATGGATAGATCAACTAAACAGAAAATGAACAAGGAAACACAAACTTTAAAGGACACAATGGACCAGCTAGACCTTATTGACATCTATAGGACGTTTCACCCCAAAACAATCAACTTCACCTTTTTCTCAAGTGTACCACTTTAAAATCCCGCCAATAGTACACAAGGATTCCCTTTTTTCCACACTCACACCATTAAGCTCTTATCAGATATATGGTTTGCAAATATTTTTCTCCATTCCATAAATTGCCTTTTTACTTTGTTGATGATTTCTTTTCCTGAAAGAAATTTTTTACTTTGATCTAGTCCCACTTGTTTATTTTTCATTTTGTTTCTTATGCCTCAGGTGTCATATCCAAAAAAATCATTACCAAGGTCCATCACAAGATTTATTCTTATGTTATTTTCCTAGGAATTTAATGGTTTCAGACCTTACATTTAAATATTTAACCCATTTTGAGTTAATTTTTCTAATTGATGTAAGATAAGAGCCCAATTTCATTCTTTCATATATGAAATTCAATTATCCC